GGAAATATCCACAAACGGTTTCATGTAGAGCTTGTAAAACGGGCGGGAGACGATCCATTCCCGAGTCAAACACGGGATGATCCGCAGAACCCACCGGTTATCGATGACCTGGAAGAGCAAGAATACGAAGTCGAAGCAATCCTGAGAGCTCGAACAATGCGACGCGGACGAGGTTATTATCGACAAGCACTAGTAAAATGGACGGGCTGGGCTGACCCGACCTGGGAGCCTATTGAATACGTACAAGACACCATTGCACTAGAAAGATTTGAAGAGTTCTACGGCCCAATAGACTCCAACGATGGACCCCACGAAACAGATTTGGGAGCTTATGTAGGTCCTGCTGAGAACAAGACTCTGGAGTCTCGGCGACAAAGACGGCGCGCCAAACAGTGAAATGTCGGGGTGGGGGATTGTAACGGCTGGTAAGCCGATTGGTCCCTGTAGCCTATGTTGGTTAACTTAGGCCTGATTCGAGTGGCGTTATTGATGGCTACCAATGCGCCAATATGCGACGCCACCCAATACAATACTTTTGCGTCGGCATTTGCATGGTATTCACATGGCATCGGACTCGGCAGTGCGGCACGGCAGTACGGCACTGCACCACATGTTGATAGGCTTACACTGACTGGGAATATACGAGACCGAGTACAATCCTTCCGGACCATAACGCGATAGTGCTGTATTACAGGCATAGTCAGAACACTAGGGGAGTCCCATAGCATAGGAACAGGAGAGGGATTAGCCTTGGTGGCGAGGAGGCTTTCACGTATATAAATGAATAGATAGATGTAGTGGAAGTTCTCTCCTTAGAATTATTATTTACTACCATCGACCACATAGTTGCCCCAGCACTTGTCCCTCGAAACCGTGACATTGCCAAGCGAATGGCGCACCTCGCAATTACTTGTGATGTAGTTGGCCATCAACAAATCGGTGCACTCCCAAAGTGATCTACAACGGACCTGGTCTCCTGCGTAGTCCATGACGTCGAAGAAGCATGCTCCCAGGGATGAGCTTCGACATTCTTACTTTAGACGTCCAAGGAGCGTTCGATGCAGTGCTCCACAATCGCTTGGTTAGGCGCCTGCAAGCCCAGGGATGGCCAGACTCAATCTTCCGATGGATGACTTCATTCCACACACATCGGAAAGATCAAGTGCGTTTCTCCGGCGGAGTCACCACCCAGAGAGATCTGGTCTGTGGAGTCCTTCAGGGCTCACCAGTATCGCCTTTACAATTCCTTCTGCACATGGCAGAGCCGATGTGAAGTGGCAACCCAGGATCGAGGTTTAGCTACGCCGATGATATTGGAATTCTGGGGCTTCAAAGCACAGTTGCTGAATCTGCCGGCGCTGCACAAAGAGAGGTAGACCGTCTTCTCGAGTGGGCAGGGATAAATGCCGTTGCCTTCGGAACGGAAAAGTCTGAAGTCATCCAATTCTCAGGAAGACGCCGAGAAGAAGCAGTTGGGGCTCACGTAAATGGAAATCTCATCGAGCCCGCTGATCATATTCGATGGCTGGGCGTACATTTGGATCCTCGACTCAATTTCAAACACCACGTAACCACCTGGTGCGGGAAAGCGATAAAATCTGCACAGCATATGCATCACTTCAACTCGGTCTTTAGGGGAGCAGCCCCCGGGCCGTTAGCCAGCGCAATAGACATGTGCGTTGTCTCGCTAGCAACCTTTGGATCTGGTATCTGGTGGCCAGGGCCCAAACGCCCAACTATACGAGGAATGGTCACGTCATCTACGTCTAACCTATGTAGCATGATTGATAGAGCGAATCTGATGGGACTAAGGGCTACACTTGCAACAATGAGGACGACACCAAATGTAGTCCTTCACAGAGAAGGAGGAATCCCGCCGGCAAAGATCATATTGGAGGGAAACCGTCTCCGACTTTCGGCAAGGCTTAAGACCCTTGACGATCGACACTCTTTGAGGATCCGCGCTTCCGTGTGCCCGAATCTCGGCACCCGAAAATACAAAAAGACTTCCAAGCCCTCAGCTAGACCAGAAATCCAGATGTCACGATTAAAACGTGCCTACCGAGAGCTTCCGGAAGCAGAAACCCCTGAAAATCTTATGCCGATGGTTTACCCTAGGAAATCAGGCTCAAAGCCAATGTTACGCGAAGGTTACGCTAGAAGGATTAGCGATGTGCCAGGAACGGACATTTGCGCATACTCGAATGGTTCATCGGAAGGACACGGACGCTCCGCTTGGGGGTTCGTTCTGAAAAAGGATGGGAAACTCATTGGCAAAGGAAGTGGGATCAAGCACGGGGGAGAGGTGCTGGATGCAGAGATAGTAGGGGCAAGGAAGGCTCTGGAAGCCGCACTGGAGTTTTTGGAGAACGAAAAGTGCAGGAAAGTAGGAGGGTTGCAGCAAATCCACGTGTTTCTAAACAGCCAGCAGGCTGTAAGCGCACTAACGACAGACTCGTCCTCAACTAGCCTAGAAGATGTACGCAGCTTCCGTGCATTAAGTAACTTGGCAAAAGTATTAGTAAAATGAGTGCCAGGGCACGTAGGGATACAAGGGAACGAGGAGGTAGACACCATTGCTCGTGCCGCCCTTCGAGAGTTACCTAGTCAGGAGACATCACCAGGATCATGTACTCTAGCATATCTACGTGGTCTCATGAATCGCAGACGACAGAGGCTGCTAGACGACTGGTGGAAAGAGGCCTGTCCGCCTAAATACCGCCAACTCAACCTACAGGTGCGGAGACGCAAACCACCCGAACTGTCTCTCTCTAGGCACCTGCTCCGCGAACAAATTGCAGCACGAACGGGTCACGGCAATTTTGCGGCATACCATCGCTGTTTTAATAATCCACATGCTCCTATGGAGTGCTCTTGCGGGAAGGAAACTACTCCAACCCACTTCATCCACTGTAGCCGTCACGCACAACAAACGCGTAGGCTCAGAAAGTCAATGTGCCACGCTGACTTTATCAAAAAGCTTCTCGGGCCCAAGTGCCACGATAGCTTCAAAATTTTTGCGGAGGAAACCGGCTGTTTTGATAGCCAACCCGCCCACTCATCCACTACTCTCAGCGGGGATCAGACAATCTAGTCATTGCCACAACGCACGACAGAAAAAGGATCGATGCGAGAAGTGTCGTTTCTCTGAGGAAATTCTTATGTACTTGGATTTAGGTCTGAAGGATGGAGTCTTGATTTCGGAGTCGGAGTAGGTGGTGTCTGTTGAAAATTCAGACTCTATGTGTCTGAAGTTTCCCATAATTGGAACAACTAAGATTCTCACACATGACTCACGACCTAGATGATTGATATCTCCCTTACTGAGCATGTTTGATGCTTGAGACTCGACTAGTGCATGGTATGGTCTGATACACGTGTAGGCTTTCATCCACCGACCCTGACCCCATACTCATATTGTATCCTGTCGTGCGTTTCATTGTCATTGTTAGAGTATGGAACGAGTGATGGATGGTATCTAGTCTGGATTTGGTCTATCAAGATTACATGTATATAAGCTGTCTAGGAATCACTAAGACAGATAATCAAATCAAATCAATTTATTCAAACCATCTTTTATTTCTCCACAGTTTATCACATATTCTCCCGATTCATATCATTATTATTCTATTCATAAAATCGCGCCCATATTCTTTGAGCCGCCTTACTCATCGAACCCATACTGGTTTTCCAACAGTGTCATTTGAGTTATAATTTACCTTCTACTTTTTCTGTAGCGGGTCTCGCGGTTGGAATGAGTTGGGCCTGTAAGCAGTGATCCCTGCCGGCTCCACCAGTCTTGTACCTATAATGGACCTAGAGCTTTAGCTTAGGATGTTGGAATGTATGTCTTTTACTAGGCGCTTAGTGCGGTGCATCTCTTTGTTGCTGAGTCATTGTCTTGATGACTCAGCCAACACCGCGAATTGGACGTTCGCAGTGTTCATAGATAGAAAGAATAACAACAAGAATCCATACCTCACTTTCGTACCTTTCGTTTTGCATTGAACTAACCTTACGTATACGTAAAATAAGGCCAATCGACATAGGACTTTAATAAAACAAACAAAAAACAAAACAGAATCGTAAAACTCTTTACTGAATCATTACGATCGATCGTGAAACCACACCGTAGTAATTCTGTCAGACCAGTATCAGAACCCGGTGGGATTCGTATTCCTGAATTAATGTTTCGTGATTCATGTAAATTCCATTCTTCTAACATGATCGTAACATTATTGTCAGAATAATATGCCAAGCTGGTACCTGACATAATTTGTGATTGCCTCAGGAAAACCTTGGCGTTTTGGGTAATTTTTAGCTATAAAATACTTGGCGTCCGTGTAACAGACGTGGTGGACTGGTATTGAGTCGGTTTAGGATCACATCTTGGCTACAACATGTTTGGATTGTAACATGTGATGTAAGGAATCAATTTCTAGATATTATCATCATATGTCAGGCAGTAGATATGTGTAGATATATAAGCTGAGAGAAAGAGGAAGATAGACAGACAGACAGTTACATCTTTTTATTTCACTTCAATTAAAAGCTCCTGTGCGAGCTATTCTTCCAGATACCTCTAGTCTCAATCATTACAGCTTCCGAACCAGCTCAAAAGGTTCGACAAATTCCAACACAAATGTTATTTTTTTAAATACATATTTGGGAGTTTAGGGGTTATCCAGCTTCTTAGAGCCAATACCAGTGACCTCAATTGATATGCTGGAAGAAGAGAGTGGTTTGTCTTCCTGCCTCTAGTCTAAAATCGGAAGATTCGTATCACGTAGCTGGTACCTTCCTTGACTTAGTTTTGTACGCAGGTGTGTTGCCCCAATAACAACTACTAGCAGCTCAATAAAAATGTGACCAATACATAATTATCTGGTGCTCACATATTTTATTTTAGCGTTCAACATGCCGTATGTTAGTCTCATGAGATGATTGAGCGATACAACCAGTCAGTACTCGAATATCGGATCCAAGTCCACGATGCTCGACTAGGCTTCGGTCATTTCTTCATCTTCTTCATCTTCTTCATATTCGGTCCATTCTTCTTCATCTTCTGGAATTGTCACTCCTGCCAGCTCGGCGCTCAAATTCTCTACAAGCTCTTTGGCATGCTCCCCTAATCGTTCATCTTCGTAGCTCTGCTGATTAAAAAGAAGTAGAGCTTGTTTCAGCCACTGCTTACTTGTCACCCAAGAATATTTCCAGTCCTCTAAGCAATCGCCACTCTCTAAGTCAGAAGTTTTTTGCTTTAGACCTAAGTTGTAGAGACACCAGCCGCCTAGATACCATACCTCGACGCTGCTATCATCTTCACTTACCAACCTTTCCAATACTTGAATAGCCTCAGTATCCATATCAGCTTCCATTAGTAATCGAACAAGGCTTACTCGAGAAGAGTACTCGGGCACGTTAGGATCTTGAGGTGGCAAAGATAGCCATAGGCTAAGACTTCTATTTAGTGCAGCTTTTGCATCTTCCAAACGCTGTTGTGAGATCCTTACGTTAGCAAGAGTCTGCCATGATTCAACAAGACCTGGTGCTACCATGGTCGCTTCCGTAACAAGTGTTTCGCAGAACTGCTCGGCATCATCCTCCCAGCTGAGATCAGTCATATAGACCTCCACCATGCTACACAAGCAAACAGCCAGTTTGCGCGAAATTTCCGCCCGATTCATTTCAACGTTGAGAGATGCTGGCATATTACCGAGCAATTCTTGTGACTGTCGGCGTAAAGATGTAGCCCCCTTTTCAAACCACTGCATACTGTCATGACCACCTTCCTCACTAAGTTGTGCTAGCCATAGGAATTTGTCTGCTCCACCCCCGAGCTCTTCGCTGATGGTACCATCTATGTCGATTTCTGCAGCCTGCGTGAAAAATTTACGTGCCAATTCAATATCACCGTGTTCTACATAAATTTGCCCAAGAAGGTTGAGGGACGGTAGCGATTCGACCGTGTTGGTGTTTACAAGGCTAAGCGCGCGTTTGGCGACGGGTATGGCAGATTCTAAGTCGCCCTGCTGAAGATATTTCTCAGCTTCCAAAATTAGGGAGTGTGGAGAGTTCAAAGACTTGGACTGTTGAGGAAGTGAGCGCTTTTGGGATGCCACATTTGTTCGTGTTCTTTTTCCTTGGGGCCTGATTTTCGCCATTTTGCACACTCTATAGTTTTGCCAGAGTTTGAGATGGTTCAGGATATCGTAACCATGATAATTAATCTTGGGTTTGTGTCAATAATTTGTGATTGTGTGCAACTGGGGAAAACCCATTCTTAGAGGGGCTCAAGTTAGTAAATTAAATGTGGGCTAAATTTGGGTGGATGACTAACAACTAGAGCGCGTCCCTAGGTGGGGAATTTTTGCATCAGATTTTAGATATGCACCCGATGATCTAACACATTGAGCTTCTATCTGTTCTTGCCCTCCTTTGTTCCAAAATGAGATCTCTAATTTATTGCCTGTGATGGATTGCCAATAATCCGAAAGTTTACCCGGAGAATCCAACCTTCTTTTCCACGGAACCTGTTACCTAAAAAACAAAAAAAGTAGAAATGGAGACTGCGTAGAAAAAATAATTAAAAATCTTGCTACCACAGACAGGAGAGTTTTAGACATCCCAGCTATACTATATGTATCAAACAGATAACCCTACATTTAAATATTGTATCATGATGTTTAAGTTAAGTACTTTACAAGCAAGTAAACGGGGTTGATGCATCAAGGGCAGTAACTTAGTAATGCAAATGTTACAACTAGCGACTAGACGGATGGCCGATTTCCTACGCACAACTCCCCTGTTGTTTCACTCCTTCTATTGCCCATGATAATGTAACAGTCAATTTTAGAATCATGTATGGAACGGAGATTTGAGCAGTTCGCATGGGCAATCTAATAGTCAGTCTAAATTTGGAATTATTAGGATACTCAAGATCTATATAGTACCTAGATAGATTCCTCATGGTAGAGGACAATGAATTCAATCAACTCTGAGACAGGTTCACACTTGTATAACTTTGCTTAACAAAGTATGTGTATACAACAGTGTCTGCCTTTCAACTAAAAAAAGAGGTCATTTTGGTCCAATCCACTGCCGCTATATCACAACCTGGGTATGCTTCGGAAGCTTATTGCATGGCTTCTTTTCCATGGCCAAAAAAGGAAAGTGAGTGGATGATAGGAAAGGCTCCGACCCTATCATCTGATCTGATTATTGTTAGCTTAGTGACTGTCGAATGACCTAATGACTTAGTGACCTTGATGTATTATTTTGGAGATTATGACCAATTATTTTCTGGGCAAGAATTGGGATTGAAAATATCAGAGCTTGCCTGAACATAATTGGAAAAACTAAAGACAAAAGTTGCAACTTTTGCAAGGCTAAAAAGCAGACCATAAAATATTAACTTCATTTTAGCAGATTTTGCAAGCAATGGGAATTAGCATTTGCTGAAATAAAGCCTCTTTCATTACAAATTTATTGAGGACCAAAAGGGGGAAGGAAGCCCATCTAGAATTTTTGAAAACTTCAGGTGTATGTCAGTATGCAAAGGAGATGATATAGGCACGTATATATGTGTGTTTTACTGTACTACTTGAGTCATAGACTATCTAGCACATAGGGCTCCTCTCTGACCCAGGCCACACCATGTACAGTGCTCCTTGCCTCTTTTGTTATTTGAAAGATCATTGATATGTTCCCCATGATGAATAGCCATCAAGCTCAGTTTTTACCCGTGGAATTTAGCCACCTTTTCCACAGAACCTTCTACCCAAAAAAAATAAAAATGGTAGCAATGGAAACTGCGTGCGCGGGAAAAAGTCTCAAAAAACCTGCAGCCCCAGCCAGGCGAGGCCTAGACACCGGGACCACATGAGGTGCGCATATTCATCTATATCTCCCTTCTTTGTAACAGTCGAGGCCGACTTGATCCAATCCACCATCTCCGTATCGGGTGCTGGGTACGCTCCGGAAACTCATCGGATGGCTTTTCCTCCATGATCAAGGGTGGGTGACGAGTAGGGCTCCGACCCTACCATCTGATCTGATCGTGGTTAGCTTCATGATAATGGTGATAGGGGAATGTGTTGAGAGATGAAGACGATACAGACCGCGAAAGCGATTGGGAATCCTCGTCGAAGTGAGGACGTTGTTACTCAATCTCGGCTCTGCAGACTCTACAGTGAGAGCTGGAGGTTCGAAGGGGACGCTACTGAGAGGTGTTGAGAAAAGTCCCCCTATAGGCACGTAAATAATGGACATAAAGACATATGTAGAAGTGATTTTGGGCCTTAGCTGGTGTCATTCTGCAATGTAAAAATAAATGGAAATTTAATTGTCATCGCTAGATGGCTGAATACAATATAATTCAAAAAAAATATGACAAATTATGTTGGTGGGTAAGGAGTTACCTATTTAAGAATGACGTTAAGAGAGAGGGATAGCACTGCATACAAGTGTTTCCTTGAATTAGAAAGACAAGAATGAAGATAAATTTTAACCACCGGTTGCTATTACTGCTATATAAAGCTTTGATAAAAAAACCATCAGAGTGTTCCAACAATGATAAAGCGGCTAGAGATTATTGTCGAGAGATGAAGATGATACGGACCACAGGGTTGTTTGGGAATCCTCGCCAAATTGAAGACGATAATCTAGTTCAATCTCGGCTCTACAGACTTCACAGTTTGTTTGTTTATTCCATTTACATCCTGTCTAAGTCTAAGACTATTGTAGGATAGACTATACAGTGTGTGCTGGAGGTTATTATTTTATTTTATTGTCCTGTCTGAGTCTATGACTATGTTAGACATGCAGGTCCTCTCTGCATACAGGCCAAGGATACCTATTCAGTGTTATATTCCCTCCAATGTCTTCCATGCAGCTCCCCTCAAAAGTTCTCATTCGATCATACACTAAGAGGAGCCCTTAGCCCTTCATTATCTCCCCTTTCCAGCCAGCGAAACGATGGCCATTTGCGGGTGTATGGCAGCCGGGAAAAATCGCAAAAACCACTGAGTGCGGGGCTCTTCTAATACCGATATTGTGACTAAATCCGAAGAAATAGTGCCCCTTCTGAAGCGTTCGAAGAGGCCGGCCAGCTAGGCGCTGTAAACTTGAGTGCGCCTCAGAAGTTCCTACTTTGCCTTTCTAGCCTCCTTCCAACTCTTTCCCGAAGGTCGTGCTGAAATGTCAAAAAAGTCTTGACAGAGCGTGATTACTGTATGGCAGCTTAGCCCAACTTCTTTTGTACCGTCCAGGGCGCTGGGGAGTGCCGTTGACTCATCGATAAAAGAAGTCCTCCTGGCTAATTAGCCGAAATCTCGGTCTTGGCGCCCACACAGAATCCAAAGATGAAAACTCCTCGAAAATGTCAGTCCCGGCATGGTCTTCAAAGACCTGTTCCCCTCTCGTTCCACTTCTCAGCCGCCTGTCCTTCCTCAAGATGTACAACCCCATTAGAGCATCAGTCCCCCATAAACCAAGACCGCAACTTTGTATTTTTCGACTTGATTTCCTCCTTGCGGGTATAAATAGCGTCGTAAATTTGTAGTGAGTGATGGCCGGCGATGAATGAGGCAAGCTCCTGTTTGCAATTGGGGTGACGGCTTTATCGGTCGGCGAGGCGAGATGATATGTGGTTAGAAAGAGATTGAAGACTCAGAAGATAATGGTGAGTGCTGCATGGTTGAGAAGTCGTCAAATGGAGATATACATGTGTTTGCTTTCGACTTCGATTCGGATGCGATTCTTCTTGGCTATCCCAGATATGCAGAGCATACTGAGCGATTACACCGGCACCACTGGAAGGTGAAGAATTCGTCTTTCCCGGCAGTGCTCTTCATATACTTAGGGTTATCTTTTCTGCACTTTTTATCCAATTTTGCGTCCTTCATGGTCATAGACTCAGTAGGGACTTCAATTTAATTCTATTTTATTCTATCCAATTTTGTGTCATCACTAGCTAGCTGCATACGCAATTAAAATCTGATGCAAAAAAAACCAGAACCCAACATGGTCTTAGGCACATGGCAGATAATAATATCAACTGAATATCTTGATAATCCCGCGGCATCTTTATAATTTTCACGAATGACTATTGATTATTTTGTGGCATTACACAAGAACAACGACAACATCCCGCGTCCTCTTTAAATTTAAACGCGACAACTAAAGACCTGCTAGGATTTATTGACAAAAACTTGCATCTAACAAGTAGCGCATCATCACCACCATAAGCAGTGGAAATACGCGTGCTAGATAGTCATAGACTCAAGTAGCACAAAAAAAAACACACATACTTGATCTAGTGGTTCGTCATGCAATTTATATGTATAATTTATTTATGATATAGCGTAACACAAGGCAACGTGGCGGAGTGGTTATCGCGCTAGCCTAGAATCGATGTGTTGAAAAGCTAGTTCCTTAGGGAGCGTCAGTTCGAGTCTGGCCGTTGTCGGCCTTAACGATTTTGTCTGCCAGGCATGTGTTTGTTAGTGTAACCAATATTTTGCAGGACCAGTCCACATTTCATTCTTGTTCTCTTAATCTTACTTCATGATTTGTGCTCTTTTGCTCTGATACGCCCGGGGACAGAGACTAACAGGGTGGCAAGAACTCCAGCGAACCGCCACGTCTGAAGGGATGGTCTGACAGAATTTTGGCTCAGGTCGAAGAAATCTGTATTGGTATCTCCCGAGGCACTATTTTGCTTGACTTGTTTTCTAGGGACATAGTGGGAAATTGGGGGACAGAGGTTTATTTGACCAGGACGGGTGCTGTGCCGCCAATGACTGCATTGAACGGTCTTGGGAAATTTATCTCTCTACCTCACGCTGTAATGCTACATTCGGGCTTAGTTCCACCTCATGCCCTTAGAGAGGCTGTCTGAAGGTCTTTTGGCGCTGCCTGACGACTCGGATCGAGAATCACTACTGCTACTTGTCCCGTGATGATGGCATTTCTTTCCAGAAGGCAAATCGATAACTGGATTTTCATTGTTGAACGAGCGTGGCTAAAAAACAAGAGATGCCGTTCTCTATTTTGAATTTGATTTCATGTAGCCCGATTTGGCGCCCTATGTGCCCATGCAGGTGTCTACGAACTTCAAGATTTACATAGGAGGAAACCTTGCAGTAAAAGACCCCTTAGCTGT